GTGAATGGTGTGGTTTGGTGCTGTGTATGGGACAGTGAATGGTGTGGCTTGGTGCTGTGTATGGGACAGTGAATGGTGTGGCTTGGTGCTGTGTATGGGACAGTGAATGGTGCGGCTTGGTGCTGTGTGTGTTGGGCAGTGAATGGTGTGGCTTGGTGCTGTGTATGGGACAGTGAATGGTGTGGCTTGGTGCTGTGTATGAGACAGTGAATGGTGTGGCTTGGTGCTGTGTATGGGACAGTGAATGGTGTGGCTTGGTGCTGTGTGTTGCAGTGAATGGTGTGGCTTGGTGCTGTGTGTGGGGCAGTGAATGGTGCAGCTTGGTGCTGTGTGTGGGGCAGTGAATGGTGCAGCTTAGTGCTGTGTGTGGGGCAGTGAATGGTGCAGGTTAGTGCTGTGTGTTGCAGTGAATGCTGCAGCTTGGTGCTGTGTGTTGCAGTGAATGGTGCAGCTTGGTGCTGTGTGTTGCAGTGAATGGTGCAGCTTGGTGCTGTGTGTGGGGCAGTGAATCGTGGTTTGTGTTACGGTGAGCTGGAGCTTGTTGGTTTCAGCTCCCTCGACCTTCACATTCTTACCTCTCTATTTGTAGGTCGTCGAGGAGACATACCTGGTGCTGAAAGATTACGGATTCCGTTTTGCACGGCGTGGTCCTGTCTATGTCAAGGGCAAAGGCGAGCTCATCACCTATTTCATGAAAGGTCGAGAGAAGCAAGGCTCCTTCATCAACAGCTCATCTGTCACTCTGCCTCATCAGGTGGTGGAGAATGCATGAGGACTCACACCACATCACTCTGGCCCAGGGCTCCATTCACTGTAACAGCAAGGCTCAGGAGAGGTGCGCAGTCAGGAGCAGGGTACTTGAGGATACAAAGAAAACAAAGACCTCAAAGTACAGTCTCAGTATGTGTGGCAAAAGTTTGAGAATGGGCAGGTAACCAAGCAATGACTCCAACTGTTTTCTGTCTCTGCTGCAGTTTTCTCGGACAAAATAGGGCACGAGTCTGGAATGATCTCACACCTAGTGGTCTGAATCTCAAACTTGATTTTGAATGCAGTTGAGGAGAAACTACAACCTGCACTGTAGCTCAGCCCAAACCCTTGATGAGGGCCAGTGACCTGCAGCCTGCACCAACCGAAGGAGGACAATCATAGGCTGTGTTCATTTGTTTAATTCTGCTTTGTTCCGTCTCCTGCATTGGCTGTTGATTTTACAATACATTAGCCTCTGAAGGTGCGTTCTATGAAAACAGTCTGAGTGATTTTAATATCCTAATGTATATGTTGTATGGCCTGTAGTGATTTAAGTGGTCTCACCTCTACCCCTCCTCGTCTGTGTGGCTTTCCTGCTTCCGTTTTACATTGGCTTATTTATATATATCGATGTAAAGATTTGATATACCTATAAGCACAGGTCTGAAGGTTTAAAGTGTTCTACTTTGTGTCTTTATACCTAATGGTAGGAACATTCCTCCTCACCATACAGTCATGGCAGGTATTGATGTGAAGCCGCTCACCAATTGGAACAGCCTTTATCTTCTCAAGACTATCAAATGTTTCCACTTCAAAAACCAGATACAGCCCAAATCACCATACCTGTTCCAGCCCCAACATCATATTTACCTGCACTTCCTGATCATATTCAAGACCTGAAACTGCCATATTGCAGCCTAAGGCCCTACGTTTTATAGACATATCAGTGCGTATCCCAATGCCAGCAGCAGCATTGATTGACAGGAGCACCTGCCCTCAAGTCAGACTTTAATTGACAGGTTTGACTAGGATCATTGAGTGTTGGATTTCATTTATTTCTTTAAAAACATTTGGATTTCCAAATTTTATATCATTTAGAGCATAGTAATGTGATGAATGAGGAGCTAATCTGCTGGTTGCGGAAAGCATGCTGATTAGGAACCTGGAAAACTTCCACTCTTTAAAGAGTGCTGGGTTTTTAACATTCATACCCACTAGAGTGGAACAGGCAGGTGAAAATGAGGAGAAATCTCAGCAGGGTATGAGGATATGGTGAAGGGGTCTGAGAACTCTGGTGAAGAATCCTGAGCATCGAATGAGAAGCTGGTGGATATTAGAAATTGTAGGGCTTCATTGTATTTGCAGCTGAAATGATTTTGATGCTTTGATTGTCATGCAGCCTGATGCCTGGTTTAGGGTTGAATAATTTCATACCTGTTTCTGTTGCTAGTTATTCTCTACTCTGGATAGAGAATAGACATCATATATGTATCCAAGGGCAGAAAGTAATCAGATGAACATCGTTAGGATTGTGGATGAAGTGGAGGGGGGTGGTGGTGTCGTCAAGAGTTTTGTGCTGATCGTGGATGAGTTGGGATAAGAACTAGATGGAGGGGCCAAAAGAATGAGGCAAAACATTTGGAGTTATGCAAAACTTTTTGAGCAGTTCATAGGATTAAATTATGAAATGTAGTGCAGAATTGGGAGTTGTTTCAAACACAGTAATTGCAAATCTGTGTTTTTGGTGATTCGGAGAGATGGTTTTGGCCAAAGAAATATCTGATTCCAAAAGTGTAATGGGGTTATGAACAGTTTACAGTACTGGCTGTACAGGTAACATCAACCATCAGAGTTTAGTGGTATGATGATGAAGTCATTGTTGAATTCTCCAGCCTGACACTAAGAATGGAAACTATCAGAATTAGTGTAAAGTCACTGAATCATGGGGCTGCCGTCTCATTAGAGAGACATGACTGGTGGCGGTTCAACCCGACGGTCATCCTGCCTCGGGTGAGGGAAGAGGTTGAGAAAGAGAATGGTAACCTCAGCCGGGGAATTGAACCCACATTATTGGTATCAATGTGTTTTGCAAACCAGCCAACTAAGTTAAACTGACCCCCAGTCAGAGAATTAGTGTATACGGTACTCAAGGTGAGGCTGGTATCTAATGTGTTTCAAGAACAGTCTGACTGTTTAACTATTTCAATAATTGGTAGATAATATTGCTTTCAATTAATCAGCGAGTTAAATAGCACCCACAAACAATGGGTGCATTGTTAATCTTAGCGCTTCCTCTGTGCTGCTGTTGTGCCCAGCATGAGGGAACCTCAACCTAGATTGTGGGAAATCTGCATTTGGGAATGTTGCTGATAGGATCCCAATCTATGGGAAATTACTTTGTGTGACCCTTTCAAAGTCAGACATCACAGATCCAGAGCAGTGTCACCTGTCAGGTACCTGTCACGGTAAAGCGGGATGGGGGAAAGAAAGAACATCTGCTACCTTCTCCAAACCAAACATCTTTACAAAGCTTGTACAGTGATCTGTTTGGAAAGTCTCTATTAAATTATTGCATTGTGACTTAGAATGGAACAATCCTTGCCTGTTATAAGCTCTGCAACTCAGTTAAAATACTTGTAGGATTGAAGCTTACTGATTATTGAACTGGGGAGCAGAGCAGTAATCTCAGCAGTCACAAGGAATAAGTGGTTGAATCAGAGGCTCATACATCATTGTGGCAAAGAAAGCAGGCAGAACGAACAACTGACAAGACCAGTAAGTGGCTGTAAACCTATAGATTGTCAGATGTTTTGTTCCTATTTTATTTAGTTAGGAGGCACGCCATGATGAAACCAGGAACTATTAGTATGCCCAGTTTGGGCAGCATGGTGGCACAGTAGTTAGCACTGCTGCCTCACAGCACCAGGGACCCAGGTTCAATTCCACCCTTGGCCAACTGTCTGTGTAGAGTTTGCACATTCTCCCCTTGTCTGCGTGGGTTTCCTTCAATACTGAACCTGACAGTGTGGTGCTCCCTCAGTACCTATCTTCCAACAGGGTGGCAATTCCCTTCTGATAGAACTGCTTGAATTATGTGTTCAAATCTCTGGAATACCTTTTGAACCTTTTTGTTGAAAAACTCATGCA